GTGGGGGGTAGGTAGTAGGGTGGGTATATATTTAATTTAATTTTAAAATATTATTATTAATATTAATTGTAAAATTAAAACCTGATTTTTGATTAAATAAACTAAAAATCTGATTTTTTAAAAGTCAAAACTAAACACCTTGTTTATGGTAATTTTCTCTTCTTCCTGGCCGGGTGCACCTGCGTTTCAACCTTCAAGTTTTGTCCATGGCGGCGCGATGACTATAGGTTCCCGCAGAGCCAACACGCACGATCGCGCCCCTCGTTCTGCCACTGGTGAGAAAGAGCTTAACTCTGTCTAAGCAAATTTTTAATCTTTAGAACTAGAGAAGTCATAGTTAAGCAAGGAAATAGATTCTGTAAGAGAGAAGACTTGTAATGACATCTTCCAGCAGTAGTTACGATGACAGACAAGACTATTGGTTTGCTCACCTTGTCTTCTAAATTACAGCTAATTACATATATGTGTACATAATCCAAGATGCATTGTGTAGAAATAGGAATTAAGTTAGCTGTACAATTTTATTTACAATGTATGTGTTGAAAAGATTTTTGCCATTGATTTCAAAAATAGGCCCCTGTTTGTTTAGCATTAATTCTTCAGATTAATTCCAACCGTTGTAATTCAAATTTAGCCACCATTTTTTATCATTTATCTCACGGCTGGGACTCACATTTGAAACTAACGGTGCTTTTTTTTTTTCTACTTTCCAACTGTTTAATGCTAAATGTTGACCTGAAAAATGAGCTCAACAGATATCGGGCCCACTCTTGCCACGTCAAGTACGGATCCGGCACGTTTCTACCTTAACGAGAACGATAGTCTAGCTAGAATGGACGCGGGAGGCACTTTCCGACAAGAGACAAAAATGTTCGGACTTCGATGGTGTGATTTGAAGGCAACCACGCTATCAATGATTGCCAAACCAAGATAATCAAGAATAAATCTCTCCTTTATAGTGGAATATGTGGAAGGATATATATAATAAAATGGAGTTTTGTGTTGGAATCTTGATAGATTTGCTATTGTGTTTGCAAAATATGTAAAGAACAATATGTATAAATCTTCTTCAATCTCTCTATCTTTCACGAGAGTGAATGTATATATTTGTGCTTTATTGTATGATTACAAAGATCCCATCTCCTTTT